TTTTGTATTAATAAATTATTTAACCTGACGTGCTTCTTCCAGCAAATAATTATTATTATGTTTTAGTTAAGTAAGTGTAATATAATTTTTAATTTTTTTATGTATCTTGACCAGCTTCTTTAATAGTAGCAAGTTTTTCTCTAATTAGTTTTAATATGATGTAACTAAAAATAACTTAATAGAATTATATTTGACAATCTTTGCAGCCAATGCGAGTAAAGTACAACTATAGCAGATTTCTATATTTATCCGCATTTCATACCTACAGACACGGTGTCCATGAAAAGTATGTACGAGCGGACACCAACCAAGATGGCACAAAGATGTCTTGAAGACGTCTCAAAGACGTCTGGTGTAAAACATTCGGGAAGTCTTATTCTGATTGTTCCGTTGCGACAATCTTGAAACTTTTGGAACATTCGGAACTTTCGGAACTTTCAACACGAGTTGATATTAATTTGTATCTCTCCATATATCTTGAATTTTTACGGGGACGTGTAACTGGCATGCATTACAGCGGACAAACGATTTATGCTGTGTTTCGCGTTATGCAAGGTGTTTATATATGATGTACAATTTAAATATATCCCAGAAAAAAGTAGGAGAACGCTTCACACGCATACAAGGTGTTCCACAATTATTTTAACAGCCGAAAATGAGGGGTAGCTGAGGTCATTCTAAGTAACTTTTTCCTTTGCGAAAATGCAATCTGCGGCTTTGTTTACGAGTTATTAACGAAAAACACTGGCCAATGAGAGGTGACAGCGAGAGAGTCCGCAGCACGAGGCTTTGACAGAAGGTCGGGACGGACTCGAGCTGCGTTCGAAGTATTGAACAAGTCACGAAGCGTGAAATTTCCGGATTTTTTTTACCACGTAACAGTGATATTTTTAAGAAAAACGCTGTTCACCTTTACTTTAGAACGTCTGCAGAATATTTACTAATTTTTCGGACCCGAAATAATATGTAGTTTAACCGTGAGCGCCGTTTTAATTTTCTGGTGTGCATGATACATCACATGTACCATATGAAATTTTTAAGCAAGGTGTACAGTGAAGATTAACAAAGTACGTAAATGATATTTTAATTTAAATAATTTCACGTCCGAACACAATTCAACGAATGATTTGCAAAGCTAATTTAATAAATAATAATCGTGTTAAAGGACGTAAGAGATTTGTTTGATAGAGAAATATGAAGAATATTATCAATAAGAAACTTACCCATTTAGTTGTAAATCTACTTCATGCACGGAAATGTGTGCAGGAGGATAGTGCATTGGCCTCGTACAGTGTATAATTAACTGCACAGCTGATCTGTATCTCTCTATTATCAATAATATTTATTTATAATATTTATAATAACTTTTCTGGGTTGATTTGTATGACCCTGAAAAGAGCCGATTTTTTAATGGGACATGTATTGCATTAATGGGACGAACTGCAGAAGACTGGTACGATGGTCGACAGTGTTTCGTTTTCCTACGAGCGAATGTCAACTGTTTCCCATCAAACACGAACATTGTTGGCCATCGTGCCAGTCTTCTACAGTTCGTCTCGTCAACGCGGTACGTGTTCTTAACGATAAGAACTTCGAACGCGTCGCATAAACAAATTGGTTCTTTTCTGGGCCATACATATTAACCTCAGAGAGATCGTCCATAAATATTATTGATAAGTGATCAGTGTTTAATGATAATGCAGTGAAAGTGAATGTTGGAATAGTCTGCCCGGAAACATCCTTCTGTTCGTCGTACATTGTACGAGGTCAATCCACTATCCTCCTGCACACATTTCCGTGCCTCAAGTGGATTTACAACTAAATGAGTGACTTCCTTATTGATAATATTCTTCATATTTTTCTAAGAAACAAATCCTTTACGTTCTTTAACACGATTATTTAATATTAAATTAGTTTTGCGAATCGTTCGTTGAATTGTGTTCGGACACGGATTTAAATTACAATATAATTTACGATATATTTTTACGATATTGATAAATTTCATTGATATTTTATTACGATATAATTTCCGAACTTTGTTAATCTTTACTGTACACCTTGCTTAAAAGTTTTATATGATACACATGAGGTGTCATGCACACCAGAAAATTAAACCGGCTGTCACGGTTAAATTACTTATTATTTCGAGTACGAAAAATTAGTAAATATTTTTCAGGCATTCTGAAATAAGGATGAATAGCGTTTTTCTTAATATTATCACTGTCACTTAATAAAAGGAATTCGGAAGTTTACTCTCCGTGACTTATTCGTTCATTCGAATACAGCACAGAGGCACCCTTCATCTGTCACGCTCCATGGTCGACGCACGTTGCATTCTCATTGATCTGTGTTATTCGTTAATAACTCGTAAACAAAGCCGCATATTGCATTTTCGGAAAGGAAACAGTTACTTAGAATGACCTCAGCTATCATTTTCGTATTACGAGACATTTTTGTCACTGCTTCTTTACCGTTTATGAGTTCATTGCGTAGTTGAAAGTCGTGCCAGAGACATTTCAAAGTTAAAGTGACTTGTTTAGTTGTGAAAACTTAATCCTTAAATTTTCTTTCGCCATTTTGAGTGAAATGACTAGCCAAATATCAGAAGAGATTCATATCCGCCATTGCATGCTTTTGGAGTTTCACAAGGGTAGTAATGCAACAGTTGCTACCAAAAACATTTGCGTTGTTTACCCAAGTGCCTTAGATGTTCGTAAATGCCAAAGGTGGTTTTCTAAGTTCAGATCCGGTAATTTCGATCTTTCCGAGAGAGACTCACATCGATCAGGAAGACCAACAACTTTAGACAATGACGTATTAATTAATACTCTTAACCAACCTTGGTAGACCATCCGTTTTTTGATTGCTTGATCACTGCAGATGAAAAATGGGTCCTGTATGATAATCCAAAACGCAAAAGGCAGTGGCTCTCTCCGAATGAACCGCCACGAAGGACTGCTAAGCCAGGTTTACATCCGAAAAAGGCGCTTTTGTGTGTTTGGTGGGGTATTCGTGGAATCGTCCATTTTGAAATGCTTAAACCAGGAGAAACTGTTAATGCAGACCTTTATTGTGAACAATTAGATTGAGTAAATCAATCATTAATTGAAAATTATCCAGCGATTATCAATAGAAAAGGCATTATTTTGCAACACGATAATGCAAGACCGCACTGCGCAAGAAAAACGCTGGAAAAAATTAATGAATTGGGGTGGGAGATACTGCCTCACCACCCACTATACTCGCCCGACATTGTGCCATCGGATTTCCATTTATTCCGTTCACTGCAACACTTCTTAACAAACAAAAACTTTCAAAATTTGGTTGATATGAAAAATGCCATCTCTAGATATTTTACTGAAAAACCAATTGATTTTTTTATCGATCCAACATTGCAAATTTGCACACTAGATGGCAAAAGGTTATTGCCAACGAGGGTGATTACATCATTGACTAAAAAGAAAAACTTGTAAGAAATTTATTTATTCGAATTTACTGTAAAAAAGCGACATTATTTTCCAGTCCCCCTAATACAATGCTTGCTCGGCAAGGAAAACGAATTAGAATATCTACGTGGCAACCGCGTGGATACGATCCGTGGTTAACTACGCATGCTCACGCTATGCAGTCCAATCTTGAAATCTCTTACTCTTCGAGAGCGATCTTTTCCTTTTCCCAGGGAGGAAAACGGAAACGGTCGCTAATTACACATGGTGGAGCGTATCTCGCACAGAGAGCTAACGCTGTGGGTGTCTGTTTGTAGAACTATCTATCTGCCATAGACCTATGTATCCATCACAAATCTTCCTATTTAGACGACACCTTATAACCACCAGTGTAACTATACTTGTCATAGTTTTTGCTCTATATTATCCATATCATAAATTCTGATGCCAAAACAGATTTGCTTTTATATGTTGTAAATTAACGTCCTTATATCAACATCTTTTTCGCTATTAAATAATATCATTCGAAAGAGAAAGGTTCCAGTGCAGTGCGAGAATATCCCCAGTGAGCAATTCATCCAGAATTTGACTGTACGCTGTTATTTATCGAGCCATCAACTATCAACTATCATTATCAACTATCGAGCCATCCGTTTCCACACTTCACACCAGATTTGGCCTCAACATCTCATAAGTGTCAAATTTGAGCCAAACCTTGTAGCACTACCTCTTGTTAAAAGAGGGCAAGTCAGTCGCAATAAAAGCAGTCCTAAGCGTCATCTTGACAAAAAAATCTAGGCCAAAATGAAATATAGCAATGAAAAAACAGCTTCTAAATTATATATTTCTAAGTTTAATTTATTTGAAATAAAAATTTTTATCAATCATTCGTTTTTTTAAATTTCAAGATTTAAAAATCTAAAGGTCTTTATTTTTGTGTACATCTAATTCTAAAATGTTGAACCTACGTTATAATTATTTTAAATAACTTAGTACTATCAAAATCAAAACATTTTATTGGATACAAAAATCATGATTGAGGATGTTTCTAGAAGAAGAATTTAACACATCTATGTGTTCTTTTGAGATACATTATTATTCAATAAGTTCTCATACACATTTAAAACGGAATAATTTTTTTATAACTAGGATAAGAGTTTGCAATTTTTTTGTAATTTTAGAGGAATTGGTTTACTAGACAATGGCTAGGAGATGTATTAGCAGTTGGCATATGTACACACATGTGAAAAAGTTACAGAATGTGTTGAACAGTTGTGCGAGAACATTTTTTATTGGCTTAAAGACAATAATAAAGATTAGGTAATTCGTCAAAGAAGTTTCAAATAAATATATTTTAATTAACATATCTTATTTTACATTCAAACAGAGGATAACATGATTTCCATGAATTATCCAATAAGGAGCAGCTCAAAAAATGAGGCTGAGACATATTTTTCAATCATTGAATACTACTATAACTCGAAAGCTTAATGCTATGATTCTCTTTGTCATATAGCCCTGTGCGCTTGTTTCGTTAACTCGTTTAACAAATCAAATTTATCGCCAAACCTGTAGCGAACTGAATAAACGGACAAACACATTTCCATTGTTGTAGTCGAAAAGGGTAACGTCAAAGTGTGATAACACTATCTCGACTTGCTCCCACGCCTATCCATTTAACTGAAATAAAAAAATTTTCTCATGTCAAGTACAAAATAGAATAAAAAACAATCATATAATTCATTTAGACGCAGAACGCAGTAGACTGCATAAATTATGGATATATATAATGGATAATATTTTATGAAATATTACCTGGTATACCAAGATGTTCTTCTATTAATTGTATGTATTTTCTAGCATTCAGTGGCAATTTTTCTAGTGAACGTACACCTTCTGTCGTCGACTGCCAGCCATCGATGCTTTCATAAATTATTTCTACCTTTGCTAAATCAGAAGTACTACTTGGAAAATAGTCGATATCTTTCCCATTTAACCGATATCCTACACCAATTTGAATTTTTGGAAGAGTATCTAGAATATCTAATTTCGTCAAACATATTGACGTATATCTGGAATTATATTCATTTCTATAAATATGATTTGATAGACAATAGTTTACGAAAGTACTTGAACACTTGCATTTATATCATTTAGCACACTGTTGTCTTAATCTTAAACTGAATTGCACTTTTGTGAGTGACTGAAGGCAGGTTTCAGGCTTGTTGTATTGTATGAAAACATTCCTTACCCATTCACCATTGCTGTGAATTTGAGGAGCATTAGGTCTAACCAACCACATCGTCTCTTTCTGTTTGTGGTCACGCCAAATTCGTGACCTCTCCTTTGCAAAAGATCGCCTGTTGCATCCAGAAGTTCAGTGGGAAATGGTCCATCACCTACTCTTGTAGTATATGCTTTAACAACCCCAACAACATCTCCAATGTAAGATGGTGGAAGTCCAAGACCAGTGCAAACACCACCTATACTGCAATTGGAGCTAGTAACATATGGATATGTTCCAAAATCTATGTCCAGCATTGCAGCATTTGCTCCTTCCACTATAACCTTCTTTCCTTCACGTAATGCTTGGTGTAAATACTGTACAGTTTCTTTTACCAACGGTCGTATTCTTTCGGCATATCTGCAAACATAAAAAAAAGTCATTTTATATCTTTATTTAAAAAGTTGAAATGAAAGCATTGACTATTGTGCTGTATCTTTGACTATACCACTAAACACAACTGTGAACATTTAATTTCTAGATTTGTATGAAATTGATCTCAATAACTACAAAAATGTTACAGCATATTCTGCTAACTGAAACCAATATACCTTGTAACAGTTATGAGACTTTTTTGGTTCTCGATATTTGTTTCAAGAACCGAAATCAATATCATAACTGCTTTGTACCCCTGGATGTAACCAATAAAAAAAGGGTTATAATAGTTCTTATCAATTCGCCCTGTACATTATGTAAGTATACATAATATACAGTAATAGGTCCTACACCTGCACACCTCCAGGCCACAGTTTGATCCATTAATGAGGGTCAATATACAAATTTTCTTTGTTCTGATCTACTGATGATTCACTGCTGAGTGGGGATGTGCACATCAACTTAGGGAGTAAGAAAAGTGTGTAGGGGAGCAGGTCCCATTACTGTATATGCATATAGGTGTAAAAATTAATTCGTAATCTTCACAATTAATCAATTGCAACTTTCTTTTAAAATCACATCTCTCATCCATTACATTAGACTTTTCAAGATTCAAAATGAAAAAAATATCAAGTGATTGGTCGATGCCAACAATGTAAGAATATAAAATATAAAACATATATTTTTCGTATTTCAATTAAAAACATATTCTTGAATTTAAAGAAATGATTTGCTTTGCTTTAGAAACAAGTTATTTAGGCTTATGGTACATGTGAAAAGTGATACCAAAGGTTTTGGAACACTGCGAAAAGGATTATTGTCAAATACAAAAGGAACTTGCTAAACAACTGTATGTCACTCATTGTCAATGAACAATTTCTAGCCACTTGCAGAAATTTAGAAGCTACATGTAGCAAAACTAACGTTCTCTAAAAGTTCTCCATATAGTCAAACTTACTCGCAAGAGCCTTCAAATTAACACCTGTTCCATATAATTTGGTTGATATACACTCTAAAACATATTGTAAGGTACGAAAAGCAATGATGATTTCGTTGTATCAAAAAACCACCATCTTTTATTTAAGAGAGAAGTTTAATTGTAAGATTGTAAGATTGTGTAAACACGTACAGTAAGATGGTTTTCAAGGATAGATTGTATTTTAATTGGTGTTAAACAAGCTTATGAAGAAACAGTCGCGAATTAATTTCTACATCTCGTACAATATCTTCTATCCTTTTTCACGTGGTCATTGTGTTTTCTGTGAGAAGATAAGTTGTGCATTAAGACAGTATAGGTGAAAATAATGTTGATGTTAGAAACAATTAATGAATTTGTATTATTCACATCGAATAGCTGTGTTATTTTTTTATTACGTTTTGTTTGAAATAAGAAATGAAGAAATACGCACTCTTTGTACCGTTGGAGTTCTGCTTTCACATCAACTTGTAGCGCGGGGAACATTTTTTGATACGACGACACCAGCGATTCGAATTTTTGCGAGAACTTATCAAAGTTTCCAAGAAGATCGCCAATTCTAAGTCCATTTCTGGCCGCTTTGCTCGAGTACGTGGGTCCAATTCCTTTCTTAGTAGTGCCAAGTGATTGCGTACCTTTTTCCAATTCTTGGAGGCCATCGACTTGCTGGTGAAAATCAAATACTATGTGCGCACGATCGGAAATCACTAATCTTTCTTGCCAATTTTTTAAGCCTTTTTCTTCGTTGCTTTCTAATTCTTCGAAGAGCCCTGGGAGATGTATAACTACTCCATTTCCTGAAAGACATTCATTGCAGATACATAATCATCATAATATTAAGTGCTTACAATACATAATGTAATCTTTTACTATCCTTTCGGGATATAAGAAATTTCCAAATATTTCTTTGTACCATTCAAAGCACTTTCATTTTAATCACGGGTGTATGATCAACCAACATTTGTATTACTTCTTGTATACAGTGACTTTCAATGTATTGATGACAGATACTCTTTAAAACATAATTAACTCAGAATGCACACAAAAAATACTAAAGGTTGGTTCTTACAACTTTCTTATTTGGATCAGTATTGAAAATTTAAACAATACGTTGATCCATTTTTATTCTATCGATGTAGGAAAAATAAAATTTCACTGTAACTTTAAAAAATCGAGCAATATATCATATATTTTGGTAGCTTTATTTTAACTGTTTTAATTTTTTAATTCTTCTAATAATAAACATTTAAAAATTAGATTACGTATAATCAATCCCAACGTCACGGCAATGTTAAGCTGACTCGGAACAGAGGAGGAACAATCCCAAAAATCAAGTTAATACTTCGACTCCTTAATGAGGAGTGTATCGAATATTACACTGACAAGAACAAAAACTACACAGATGAGCTTATTGTTAGCTGTAAAAGGCCGAGAAGCGGTAACTTCCGTACCTCATGCGACGCTTATAATGCTTAAAACTGTCCATCTAGCAGTTGTATTTATAAATTTTCAAAATAACAGTTATATTCAAAAGTTTCAACTAGAGTCTTAGAATTTTGACACTTATTGTTAGTGCTCCAAATTCTGTGGACAATTTTTAAAATATTTCTGACTGAGATAACTAGATTACATATCAAAGATTAAGTATTGGAAAACTAGAAAATATATATCGACTTTTTGTTATTTACATAATTAAATTATTTGTTTGCATAATAATTTATTATCATTATATAAATAATAAATATGTTACAAGAAAATGTACGGAAGAAATTATGAAAAGACTTTCCAGGCCCCCCAATAATTCCCTCAATAGTTATCAGCGGACTATTTTAATATAGGTTGAAAGAGTATTGATATTCTTAAATTCTTTTAGTTTTCCCACTATTTAAAGTTTCGCCTACTCATGTTTGCTGCAAATACATGAAATTCATAGGCTAACTAAAAATACTTATTTGTTCTAAATAGGGAATGGTGACTTAACAGATTAGAAATCACGAGGCGACATCTTATTGGAATATTTGCGTTACTCTGATCAAACAATTTCCCGAACGATTTTATCTTATCAATCGGAAAAGAAATCTACGTTGTAGCTTTTTCATGGTTTCTGAGGGAAGGAAGTCTGTTCTGTTGCATTGAAGGCGTCTTGCATTTTTTTCTAACATCACTGAAACATGTTTAAATGTTTATAAAATTACGAAAAATATACCATTGTATTTGAGAGAGATAAAAAAATTGTTCTATCTAAGGAACATTCGCATAGTTTTTACAATTAAAGCAGAAAAGGTCATTAAAGATGAACATTTGTGTCCAACGTATTCGAATCTATAAGAATAAATCATTAATTATCGAAACGCCAAATAGTTAAATGTGTTAAAAAGTCTAAAGGGGTTGCCATTAGAAACATCTTAAATATCATGCAAACAATTCGAGATTATAAAGTAGACTTTTGTGACTGACTATACAAGTGACGCCGAAGGTCCTAAGAGAAGGAGAAACTGAAATTCATAAGAGCAACAATGATCGCAAACATCGTAATAAAAATGATATAACAGAATGAATAGATGATTGTCATAAAAATAACGGAGTACACGTTATGAACGGCGATGAAGTCATCAAAAGAATTGAAGATAATGTAAACGAAGGTCGCGATAAAGTGGACGATATTCTAACAAATGTTCGCACATATCTGAAGCATTCGTTGTTCCAGACAATTTCATAGGATACAAAAAATTTCACATAAATATTAATGTTATACAAATGTACATGTTTTCGTCTTAGTTTTAGAAATCGAGTAAATGTTAAAAAAAGATGATTGAGAAGTCGAATGTCTCGTGAATTTTGTGTATTTTACATACGACAAGAAGCAAACTTGAATACGTTTGTAAAATAACATTTTGTATAATAATAAGTTATGTACAATATTTTACCTTTCTAAAAAGTATAAAACGATCCAGTTTGTTATTATTATTAGACTGCGGATTTTTATGCAAAATAAAAATTGTTTACCTCAATTGCAACGAACTAACGTAAAATAGTAGTTTGTTTTCTGTCTTAATATGCCTAAAAGATTGAAAATTTTGTGTTCCATCTGTACACTTTTCTGATAAATGCTTAAAATCCGCAGTGTAGTTATTAATATCTTTGTTCGCATTGTAGTTATTAATATCTTTGTTCGCATTGTACTATGATACTTTAAATCGACAACCATAAAGATAAACGTCGTCAGTAACTAATGTCAATAATTTTCAAGGCCAGAACTGCACTACAGATTAATCTATCGCAGTTTCTGTAGTAAAAAAAGATGTAACAAAATGAAAATGTGTTTTTAACATTCCACCACAAAATCATTATCGAAACTTGATGACAAGTTGAAAGAAAATTTGTGGTCTGTAAAGCAGTGGTGCAGAAAATACGTAAACAATATTGTACTAAGGTAGATATACGCAGGATTTATTGAATTCATAGCTTAAGTCCTTCGTTAATATCCTAAAAATTACTAAATGTCCGAAGTTAATATTTTATATTTAGGTCCTTTTACCCTTCCTCCTCACTTTTCCAAATGCCATTTTTACCAGCGACAGATCTCTTTCGGAAGTTTAACCGAAACAAAAAGTGAAAAAGTTCATACAGAAGAAAAGGCAGAGTACACACCTAGTATTAAAACAGCCTAACTGTTGTTACTATTAACTTTAAAAAATTTGCTTGATACAACTTTGAAATTAAAAAATATTTTATTTATTTTTGCATTTAATGTTAGTCCTATATGACATCAATATTATTTGTAAAACAGGAGACAAATTACTAATATAAAAAATAGAAGTTCTACTAAAACAACAAACAACTTGTTCTGCTAAAGAGTGTTACATAATTAATTTACTAGGTGCGTGCAAAATTTTAAATCAAAATATCTCGAAAACAGAGGTTCATTGTGAAGAAAGTATTAGGATTTTTTATACTAGACATGTACTATAACTTGCACCTACTACTGTAGGATCCCCTTGTAAGTTTGTAAAGGGCCTAGCAAAAAAATAAAATTAGCGAAATTGTCCTTAGAGGTTTCTCAATAATTATTAAAAGGAAAAATAATAATAATATGATAAATGAGATTGTGCACTTTTCCGCCCATTTTCCCCTTCTGATGACTTCTTAAAATGTTGATATCTGGCCTATTTCGGATTATAAGCCGCATATTAGAAACTTCTTCAGATAGAAACAAACATTTTTGCCCTCGGCATTGTTATCAAATTTTTTAGAAATAGAAAATGAGTAATATTTTTAATGTAAGAATGGAAGTTCAAAATAAATCGAAACAAAAATTATGTATTGTCTGACAGATACTAAGACAGATACTAAGACAGATACTGTGTATTGTTTTTAGACACCTTCCGTAATCATTGTTTCACAGAGTGACAAACGGGGGCGGGGGGGGGGGGGGG